TCAGCCCTCCATCCCCTACACCGCGCACCCCGCCAGGGGGGACCACGGGCCCATGCTGCAGTCAGCCCTCCATCCCCTACACCGCGCACCCCGCCAGGGGGGACCACGGGCCCATGCCTGTCACCCAATCCATCCCCTACACCGCGTACCCCCGCCGGGGGGGACCACGGGCCCATGCGTGTCACCCAATCCATCCCCTACACCGCGTACCCCGCCGGGGGACCACGGGCCCATGCCTGTCACCCAATCCATCCCCTACACCGCGTACCCCCGCCGGGGGGGACCACGGGCCCATGCCTGTCACCCATCCTACCACCACCCAGCGGGTGACAACAGACCCACGCCTAATCCCCCCATCCTACACCACCACCCAGGTACAGACGACATACACCTACTCACACCACCATTGAGGTACAGAGATCTTACACCTACTCACACCACCACCGAGGTCTGGAAGCTGGCTTACACCTCAGTTTCCCAGGATCCCGGGGCTCCCCCCACCTACTCCCTCCAAAGTGAGCACATGGCTATTTGAGGCTACAGTTGTGATAAGCGGCGCGTGTGTAGGGGTCTCATCTCCTGTGTCCACGCTGCTGCACGCACACTGTCCTTTTTTCTAGCGGAGTGGTTTTCGCAGTATGGTGTGCTGCCATTTATCTAAGCACTCAGCCCCATTCCAGTTTGGGGTTACTGCAAGGAGAGCTGCTCTGAGCTCTGCTCGCAGGAGCGGGGCGCATGGGGCTCCCATCTCCCCCGGCGCGTCTCGTACAAGGCTGCATGGCCCAGTTTAACTTTTTGTGAAACTACAACTTACACCAGGTGTTCAATGGTCTCCGAGCCCTTCCCCTCCACTCGGCACCACCTGACGCCACCCCGGGAAGCCTGGGCCTCAATTGCTCTGGCCACATCCTGTGTTTCATGTATCCTGTCTGGATTGGGGAGTGCATCTAGCCTCCGTTAGAGTGAAGGTCATCTGGTTGGAGAGAAGCTGGGACAGTGAGCAGGAGGGAGACGGGGCCAGGGCTGATACGTACGTCCTGGAGTGACAGCAGCCCCTGAACCCGGTGGAACAGCACCTCCTCCTCAGCCACGGCCCTTCTGGCCACGTCATAGGCTTCCAGGTAATAGGTGATCTTCTGTTCTTCGTCTTTCTCCTTTCGGGCACACGACCTTCAAACAACATGACAAAGATGTTAAAGCAAATAAATGTCATTAGTACTGATTAATATGTAACATATAATCTCCACATAATTATACTGTATCTGTTATTACATTTATAGTTGGATGTTTTTCTTTGGGGGAGGGGGTGGTCCTGGGGTTTGAACACTGAACTTCTTTTGCTCAAGACAGGCATTCTACCACTTGAGCCACGGCGCCACTTCTAGCTTTTCCTTTCTTTTCTTTTCTTTTTTGGTAATTTATTGGAGATAAGAGTTTCATGGACTTTCTTGCCTGGGCTGGCTTCAAAATGTGATCCTCAGGTCTCAACCTCCTGAGTGGCTAGGATTATAGGTGTGAGCCACCAGCGTCTGGCTGGTTGGATGTCTAGATATGTTTATGCTGTTTACTTATTGTGCGGGTCCTGGGGCCTGAACTCAGGGCTTGGGCACTGTCCTTAAGCTATTTCGCTCAAGGCTAGCGCGTTGCCACTGGAGCCACAGCTCCATGCTGCTGTTTGCTGGCTGACTGGAGGTGAGAGCCAGCGATGGGCCCTCCGGGAAGCTAGGGGCACCGGCGCCTGCTCGCTCAGGACTGGGGTGTCGGGTGGGTGGTGGGGGAGGCGTGGGGCAGACGCTGCCCTGGGAGGGCGGGTGGGGGCCAGAGCTTCCCGGGCACGGCCGGTGCGGCACGGCCGGTGCGGGGTGCAGCCCTCCTCGGCCGCCGGGCCCCATCACGCACCTCTTGAGCTTGGCACGGGCAATCCTCACGTTCATGCAGTCCGTTTCGTACCCACAGTTGGAACACTTCTCCTCCATGTCCACCAGGTGCTTGTCTATCTCCTTCAGCAGGAACAGGCCCTCCGGGGACTCGCTGGCAGCGGCTGAGCCCTGGGCCATCTTCAGCTGGAGGTACACGCACCTGTGGGTGGGGCCTCTTCAGGGGCGGGGCCTCCCAGATGACAGTGCCTCTCCAGGGGGCGGGGCCTCTCCAGGGGTGGGGGGAGGGCCTCTCCAGAGGGTGGGGCCTCTTCGGGGGGGGGGGGCTAAAATGGCCAGGCACAGTGTCTGTCTCTAGACAGATGGATGGCTGTCTGGATGCAGGTCACACCTCACAAGAGGAAGCACGACAGAAAACAGCAAGGTGGAAACCCCGTGTCCACAAGTCCAGTGCTTCCTCCAGTGCCCAGAGCCAGGCCAGGTGCACAAGATGGGGCCTAGCTGCGCTGCTGAGGCAGGGGGCTCAGTGTGAACCCCGGCCTGGAGGATGGCTCCAACGGAGGACAGTCACCAGCAGCTCACCTAGCCTCTAGGTCCAAGATGAAGAACTCCAGCATGGGTTCCTGGTTGGGTCGTTCTTTCTGGAGGATTCTGAAGCCATCGATGAGTTTTTGATACAGGCAGCAAACCTGGGGGTGAGCAGGCACCGGCCTGACTGCATCACTCAGCGGGGCCAGAACAGAACAGAGCAGAACAGAACAGAACAGAACAGAACAGAACAGAGCAGAACAGAGCAGAACAGAGCAGAACAGAGCAGAACAGAGCAGAACAGAACAGAACAGAACAGAACAGAACAGAACAGAGCACTGCCAGGGGACAGCGTCCAGCCCAGGGCACAGAACAGAACACTGCCAGAACAGAACACTGCCAGAACAGAACAGAACAGAACACTGCCAGAACAGAACACTGCCAGAACAGAACACTGCCAGGGGACAGAGGCCGGCCCAGGGAATAGAACAGAACACTGCCAGAACAGATCAGAACAGAACACTGCCAGAACAGAACACTGCCAGAACAGAACACTGCCAGGGGACAGAGCCCAGCCAGGGGCCAGAACAGAACAGAACAGAACACTGCCAGAACAGAACACTGCCAGAACAGAACAGAACAGAACACTGCCAGGGGACAGAGCCCAGCCAGGGGCCAGAACAGAACAGAACACTGCCAGAACAGAACACTGCCAGAACAGAACACTGCCAGCACAGAACACTGCCAGAACAGAACAGAACAGAACACTGCCAGGGGCCAGAACAGAACACTGCCAGAACAGAACACTGCCAGAACAGAACACTGCCAGAACAGAACACTGCCAACAGAACAGAACACTGCCAGGGGACAGAGGCCAGCCCAGGGGACAGAACACTGCCAGGGGACAGAACAGAACACTGTCAGGGGACAGCGGCCAGCCCAGGGGACAGCGCCCAGCCCAGGGGACAGAACACTGCCAGGGGCCAGAACAGAACACTGCCAGGGGCCAGAGGCCGGCCCAGGGGACAGTCCCCAGCCCAGGGGACAGAACAGAACACTGCCAGGGGACAGCGGCCGGCCCAGGGGACAGAACAGAACACTGCCAGGGGCCAGAACACTGCCAGGGGCCAGAACACTGCCAGGGGCCAGAACACTGCCAGGGGCCAGAGGCCGGCCCAGGGGCCAGAACACTGCCAGGGGCCAGAACACTGCCAGGGGCCAGAACACTGCCAGGGGCCAGAACAGAACACTGCCAGGGGACAGCATCCAGCCCAGGGGACAGAGCCCAGCCCAGGGGCCAGAACACTGCCAGGGGCCAGAACACTGCCAGGGGCCAGTCCCCAGCCCAGGGGACAGAGCCCAGCCCAGGGGACAGAGCCCGGCCCAGGGGACAGAGTCCAGCCCAGAGGACAGAGCCCAGCCCAGAGGACAGAGTCTAGCCCAGGGGACAGGGTCCAGCCCAGGGGACAGAGTCGTCACTGTCCCCCTCAGCAGCTCTGTTTGCTCTCACCGAGACTTCTTTCCCCGTGTCTTCTGAAGACAGAATGGCCTCAGCCAGGGTCACGGTGGACTTGTACCAGAACTCCTCGCTCCCTCCCAGCTGCTGGGCCTTCTCGATCATTCTCCTCGCTCGTCCGTAGTTGTTCTCCTTGTTGGCCAGCTGTGCCAGGAGCAGCAGACACTGGGACTGTGCACATGGGTCTTCCAGGTCCTGGAAGTATATGGCAGACTGTAGATGTAGCAGAGACAAGGGGTGAGGGGCAGAGGTGAAGAGAGGAGGGGTGGAGGGGGAGCTCAGGGACTGCCTTTCCCTCTGGTCCTGGGCTTCCCTGGCTGCTGAAGGAGGAGGTCCCCATCTTCTCCCGGGGGTGAAATCTACACATGCATCATTCCATCAGGGCCCTGCTTCTTCCAGTGTCCCCGTGGGACCAGTGCCCACCACGGTGGACAGAGTCCCCGGGGAGCTGCAGGTCCCCGCTCTTGCCCACCTCCCAGCAGCTTGCCCTCTGCCCTGCCCCAGGCCTGACAGCCCCTTCCCTAGTGCTGTGGACCAGTCTTACTGGCCACTGGAACTGGGTCAACAGGCCTTCTGGCTGGACTGCCAGGAACTGCCCAGGGGTGGGTGGAATTCTCTTCTGTGGAAGAGCATTTCTGGCTTCTGGGCCATGCCGGCACAAGGCTCTAAGGTGGGTGACGAGAGGGCGTGGGGCAGTGGCCAAAGCCGGGGGACAGGTCCCCAGAAGCCAGGCCAGCCATGGCCACGCTGGCCACCAGGGCCAGGCCAGCCATGGCCACGCTGGCCACCAGGGCCAGGCTCCTGTGGGGTGGGCCCTGGTGGGTGGGTCATGTGGGGTGGGTGTCTTTGTCCAGGAGGAGGATGAGGAGGGAGGTGTAGACCCAGGCAGGACTTGGCCTGGGCATGTGGGGCGGGCGTTAGTGCAGCCCTGGTGGAGAGGAGGGCACCAGGGGCCGCACTTCCAGACACCCACAGGAAATGCTCTTGAGTGAAAAGCCCCACGGTCAGGGACGCTCCTCAACCCCACTGCCCAGGGCCCCACGGCCAGGGACGCCCCCTCCTCAACCCCACTGCCCAGGGCTGGCGCACACCTGTTCTGTGGGGTTGTGGGTACCTGACCCCACTGTCCCTCCTGCCTGATGTCTGCCACCCCTGTTCTCCCTACACTGGCGCCTGTGCGTACCCATCCTCAGGCGGGAGCCCGACACACACCCGACTCCCACACCAGAGCCTGCACACAGCTGCCCCTGCGGAGGCCTGCTTGGCCCTGACACCTGTGATGCCCGCACACGCCTGCCCTCCTGCCTGACGCCCGTGCTGCCCCGCACACACCTCTCTAAAGCTGCACGTGTCTGTCTCATGCCATGACACCCGCACACACCTGTCCCCTGCCTGCAGCCTGCACACCGGCTCCTCTGCCAGACACAGGAATGCACCCTTCCTGTCTGATGCCTGCACACCCATGTCCCCTTCTGACGCCCGCCCCTGCCTGGCCTTGTCCGGTGGGGCATCTACAGCTGTCCCCCAACAGGAGGAAGTCTGATCCACACAGACTTTCGTGGTGTCACTGCATTTTCAAACCATTTTCTCTCCTGCAATGCTTCTGTAAAATGAGCCACAGGATGCCCATTTCTGGGCCTGTCCTGTCCCCCGGTGCTGTCCGGTGGAGGCAGAGCCATGCATCTGCAGGAGGGCGGCAGAGGCGGGGGGCTGGCCCCCCCGAGGAGTGTAACCACTTCATCCCTCCAGGTTTCCCACTGTGGGCCATCCCTGGGGAGGCGGAGCCCAGGACGGATGCTAGTCTGGAGCCTGGGGCCCCAGGGTTGAAATGCAGAGGCCGTCTCTGAGAGGGGAGGTGGCACCACGCATCTCAACCCCAGGCCAACAGCGGCTCCTGGCTGCTCAGGGTGGCTCAGGGAGGAGCCACCGGGCTCTTCAGGTGGTCAAGTCCTGAGCAGCTACACAGTGCCCAGCAGACAGATGAATTCAAGACCCCCCAGGGACAGAGCGAAGACCTGAATGGCCACAGATGCCGTGAGGCTCAGAGCTGAAGACACGTCAGAGGAAGGCCAAGATGGCAGCCCCAGTGGCCAGGATGGAGTCTGCCTCCTGGAGCAGCATCACAGGCTGGGAGGAGACACCCCATGGGTCCCGAGGCCCCCCCCCCCGCCTGCCAGAATTACATTGGGAAGCAAACTTGGAAGCATTGGCACACTGGAACCAGAGACTATAATCAACAAATTAGAGTAGAAAAGATAGGCAAGGGCTAGGAAGGACAGACCTGCCAGAGAGGCCAGTCCTGCAGAAGGGCGTGGAAGGGACTGCGCCTGCCCCCCTGCGCGCAGGCGAGGGGAGCGGCCTGCTGGCCAGGGCTGGGAGCTGCTTGCCTGGAAAGCCTGGTGGGCCTCAGACAGAAGCAGCCGCACAGGCTGGAACTGGTCCATGTCCAGTAGCACTTCAGCCTTGAGTGTCCACAGCAGGGGGTAGGAAGTCCCCTGCAGGCCCTTCCCAGTCTCTCCGTTTATCTCCAGAATCTGCAAGACAGTGGTGAGCGTTCAACCCCCTGCCTGTGCTCTGTGACAGGCGCTGGCCAAGGCCCAGACGCCCCTCCGAAGCCTGCACATTGCCCAAGGTACCCTTCTCTACTCATCTGCTGCTGGGCCCTCGGGAAGGCCGGCCCCTTGGTGGACATCTCCCCTGGGGGACTTCCAGGGCCCGGGCAGCTTGGCGAGGCCCCTGGGTTTGCCACAGCCTACAACTGACTGCACACAGCAAGTTAGCGTTAGCACGCAGCGGGTCCCTGAAGCTGCTGGCTGTCAACTCTGTGTCCTGGCAGTGTGGGCTTACCTTGTCTTGGGCTATCAGTGGCTTTATCTCCACTGGCTTCCAAGTAGGGACTGGTGCTGGCGACCCCTTCAAACTGGGCATTTTTTCTTTTACTATGGGCTCCTTGATCTTCTCCTTTTTAGATGCAATCTCTTTTCTGCAGCTATGGTAAAGAAATAGACAACATGCAGCAGAGCGGAGCCAGTGGCCACTGGTGATCAGCTGTGGACACACGCATGCTCTCCTGTTTACAAAGACTGAACACAGCTGGACTCTGGTAAAGCTCTCTCTTTGGAACTATCTGGCACACTGACTCAAGCTCTACACACCAAAGCAAAACTCCCTGCTGTCTACTCAGACACTGGCCCAGAGCCCAGCGGCCCTACAAGCGCCTAGACGGCTCCGTTTCAGAGGCCATCATCTGGGAGTCAGGTTCCTCCCCCCACAGCCCCCCAAGTGCTCAGATAATATCCACCAGGGAGCAGGAAAAAGGCAGCCAGGCCTATGGCTTCAGTGGCCATGTTTCTAGAACCTCTCTGAGGAGGTCAGTCTCCACACATCTAGAATCTCTCTGATGATGACGGTCTCCACACCTCCGGAACCTCTCCGGGAGGTCGGTCTCCACACTTACAGAACCTCCCTGAGGATACTAGTCTCCACATCCGAGCGCCCCTCTGGGGAGGTCCATGTCTACACCTCCGGAACCGTTCTGGGCGGGTTGGTCTCCAGGCTGTCCTGCCACACCAGGACACTTGGCACCTGGGCCACATTCAAGCAAGGGCTGGGCAAACGCACCATGAAGCTTGCAATTATGAGCACAATGGTGTAGAACACCTTCTAGGGAGGCAGAGACAGGCAGTGACAGCTGGGTGAGGTGATAAATACCTATAATCTCAGCCTTCATTCCCAGACTAGGCAAAAATTCAACCTCAAAAAACAACCAAAAGCCAAAGGAGAGAGGGCTCACGTGGCAGAGTTCCTACCCGGCAAGGGAGGACAAGCCCTGAGGTCAGGCCCCCACTTCTCACCACGTTGATCAGAGAAAAATCTACAAGGAGAGTGCATTTTTATTTCCTGGGGAAAGTGTATAGAGGGGCATACACCAACCCTCGAGTGGCAGCTGCTGCCAATGATGAGTGACAACATTTACCCTCTTCCTTATCTACACTTTCCAAGCTCGGTACAGTGAAATACATCATCTGTGTAATAAGAAAAACTTAAGCCACCTGGCAGAAACACATAGAAATAGACCTGTGTATAACTGCGGCACGGAAATCCTCCCAGTGGTCTCTAAATCTAAATCACAATTTCTACAAAAAATGATCGTCAAGCAGTTGGGTTGTTAAGCAGACGGATCCTTGCTCACGTCAAGCACCTGAGTGGCCCACAGATACAGGCACCAGTGAACCATGTGCACCTCTCACCCAGGACCAGAGGGCCAGGCTGCCCCGGGTGGCCCCCGCCCGCCCGCCCTCCCTCCCCTGCCCTCCCACTCTCCTCTCCACCCTTCGCGAGCAGGCAGATGAGTGAGACCCAGCCCTCCTCTGTTTCTCCCCTGCCTGGGGGCTCCCTGCCAGCCGGGAAGGAGGGCTCTCTGCCCAGGAGTGGGTGCTGCCAGCAGAAAAGAGTCAGACGCACCTGGCCTGCTCGGTGTCCCCGATGTACATCTGCCCAACAACCTCTTCATGGTAGGCAGCGGCGTCACGAAGCCGCAGGTCAGAGCAGACCTGGGCCAGCCTGAGGGGAGGGTGACAGGAGTGTCGCCGGGCGTCAGCCGGGAAGTGACTGTACGGACTGGAGTTTGTAAACGGGGAGGGAACGGGGCACTCTGATGTTTCCCACCCTTTCAAAGCTAAGCAAACATTCTAGGTAAGAGAGCAGGTGCTGTAGCAAAGCTCAGGGAGAAAGATTTAAAGTCGTCCACCAGTATATTTTATTTACTGCGCCATCTCTGCTCTCAGGTGTGTTCAGCAGGAAAGGCCAGGCCCAGAGGGCAGAACCCGGACAGTGTCCAGCAGAGATCTCTGCCCGCGTTGGACATGACTTCAGCCTCACAGAAAGGTCACATGTCCCCCAGGGTGAGCCCTGCCGCCTCCCCCTCCTCCTCCTGCTCCTCCTCACAGTGAGCACACACGGGCTCTTGCCCCTGAGCTGCCCCGGGGGCGGCACCAACCTCAGGTGGTAGAGGTTTGCGAGGCTCTTGCTCTCCACCACGGCGTTCGCAATGAGGACCCCCAGCTGCAGGAGGGGGACGGTGAGCTCATGGAGGAACATCTTCTTCAGGGCCTTCACCAACTGGTCCAGATAGTACAGCGTGTATGTCTGCAGAAACACAGCAGTGCGCCGGGTCACAGGTCGAAGGGAGGAAGGCTCGCCTCCAACTCAGTGCCCAGCACACAGTAGGTCTTCAGCTGGTGTCTGTGGCACAAAGGGAGGATGTACCATCTTTCTTTTCTCCCACATTGATAGATTTCATTTTGCCACGTGCAAAGATATGAAATCACCACACATGAGAGCAGTGGAAATCTTCCCAAGAGAAATGCCGTTACTTGTCTGTTCAACAAATTCACAGGTATTTTTCTTTTTCTCTTTCCACAAGACTGCTGATCAATCAAAAACAGAGCTTTTGGGTACACATACAACTGCTTTAAGACTTGGGGCACAGGAGAGCTAAGTGTCTGTGATGTTGGCTGGGCTTGCCAAAGCACTGTTCATCTATAGGAAGCAAGAGGGGCTGGGAGAACATGCAAATGTTTTCACCCAGGAACCACTCAGAAGGCCATTCCAGTTAAGGTCCAGGCTGCATGGTGGCCACAGGCAGCCGAGGCTGAGCTGCTCTGGCTGGCCAGGGGGTGGTGCTCCGGGGGAAGCCTGCACACCGTTCAGGAAGAAAGTATAACAGACTGCCAGGAAGTAAGCTTTTGTTCTTTTAAGGACATGAGAAAGCACAAATAACAAAGTAAAAGATCGCTGGCAGTATCAAAAATGAATCATCTCTACTCACAGAAGACCCATCAGTAGAGAGAAAGGCAAAAGCAGACGTTGGCCCAGTAACTGCGGTTAACTTGATTGTCCTAGCAGAGAGCTTCATAGGCCATGGGGACGCTGTGGGCAGGCACTTCACAAAAATGCATGTCCAGTGCCCAGGATGATGGCCACGGCCCAACGCCACCCAGGCAGGGCTGTCCATCTGGGCCACAGGTCGGGAAGCCGAGCAGCTCTGCCTGCACAGGTGTGGGTCACTCCCGAGAGACCACCTGTCACTCTACCACTGCTGCTGGGCTCTGCCCAGAAGGCACGTCTTCCAGGCACGGCCCTGAGACATGCAGACTCCAGTGTTCAAAGACGCTGCTCACAGGCAAGCAGACAGGTAGGCGAGGCCTGACCTCGCTGCAGATGCTTGAGCAATGAGCGGCGGGGGAGGGTGGCTCCTGGGCACCGGGACCCCCAGATGTTGCACTGAGTGAAAGAAGCCAAACCAACCGTCACTGGCGGCGTGATTCCACTCCATGTGGCCTCCAGCCAGGAGCAAGTGGTGAGTTGAACCTGACCCCCAAGTACGGGGCCACCCAGTGCCCAGCCCTTGTGGTGAAGGCGGCGAGGGGCTGGCCCCCCTGCTGGCTGCCTGGCTGTGGACGCGTTCGGGGGATGGGACGGGGTACAGAGGCAGGGAGGCTGCCCCACACGCGGACACGGCTGCACGAGGCGCTGGGTCCTGGAGGCCTCTCTGGTGACATTCGGGTGGGACAGGCATGGCGGTGGGGGTGGCGGCTGGCCTCAGGCAGGGACCGGCCCCACATCTCCTCACCGGCTTCTGGAAGCTGCTTGCGTTCACCGTGAAGTCGCTGTCGTCCTGCCTGAGCACGGTCAGCAGCTCCTCGGGGCAGCTGTAGGAGGCCCACTCCTCGGTGCTGCTTGGTAACTCTTCGGGCCTCTTGTTAGCCAGGATCTGCGCCTGCAAGGTGGAGAAACCGCCGTGTGCCGAGGCTGCCGGGCGGGGCGGGGGTGGTCCTGGGCCACCCACCCCGGCCCCCTCTCTGGGCCCTCGGGGCACACAGCTCCGGCGGGCGGGGCTCAGCCCTGCTCCAAGGTCCTGTGACTCAGTGGGGCGCCCCTGCCGGCTCTGCCTCTGGGAGTCAGGCCAACAAGCAGTTTCTAGACTTGCTTTGCAGCGGAAAGAGCTAATGTCTGAGGATGAAATAATCTCATAGATGTTTGAGAAGCTTTGGAATATGAGGAAAGTGGTTTGCTCCCCCCCCCAGGATCCCAGCCCCCACCCTGGCACACCGAGACCCAAATTCAGCTGGCCAAGCAGGGCTACTGAGCTGTGCCGTGTGTACAGAGCGCACGCCAGTCCACTGAGCCACATGCGTGTGCAGAGCGCACGCCAGTCCACTGAGCCACATGCGTGTGCAGAGCACACGCCAGTCCATTGAGCCGCCCACGTGTGCATGTCCACGCCAGTCCACTGAGCCGCCCGTGTGTGCACGTCCATGCCAGTCCACTGAGCCACATGCATGTGCACGTCCACGCCAGTCCACTGAGCCACATGTGTGTGCACATCCACGCCAGTCCACTGAGCCACATGCGTGTGCAGAGCACACGCCAGTCCATTGAGCCGCCCACGTGTGCATGTCCACGCCAGTCCACTGAGCTGCCTGTGTGTGCACGTCCACGCCAGTCCACTAAGCCACATGCGTGTGCACGTCCACGCCAGTCCACTGAGCCATATGCGTGTGCACGTCCATGCCAGTCCACTGAGCCACATGCGTGTGCACGTCCACGCCAGTCCACTGAGCCACATGCGTGTGCACGTCCACGCCAGTCCACTGAGCCGCCCGCGTGTGCACATCCCAACCCAGTCCACTGAGCCGCCCGCGTGTGCACGTCCATGCCAGTCCACTGAGCCGCCCGCGTGTGCAGAGCGCACGCCAGTACACTGAGCCACATGCGTGTGCAGAGCGCACGCCAGTACACTGAGCCGCCCGCGTGTGCACGTCCACACCAGTCCACTGAGCCGCCCGCATGTGCACGTCCACGCCAGTCCACTGAGCCGCCCGTGTGTGCAGAGTGCACGCCAGGGGACCACTGCAGGCTTGGGCTGCCAGTGAGATCACTGCCTTCGGCTGTGAGGCAAGGAATGGATTGTAAGGACCCCCAGCCTGAATGCAAGTGGTCTAAATAGGGAAGAAGGGGTTTCAGACATAGGCCGTACAGCCTCACCCTCTGCTGCCCACTGCCTACCACCCGCTGCCCTCAGGACTGAGTACCTGCTTGCTCTCTCTCCATTTCTCCTTCTCTTTCTCCTTCTCCTTCTCCTTTTCCTTCTCCTTCTCCTCCTTCCCCTTTTCTTTCTCCTTCTCTTTACTTTTCTCTTTCTCTTTGCCTTTCTCCTTCTCTTTTTTAGGCAAAAGTATTTGTGAACTGGTCGCCGCTACAGACTTTTCTGGAATTAATTGTCCTCCTTTTGACAGAGTGATCTGAGAAAGAATGGCATTCATGTTGACAGCATTCAGACAGACCCTGTGCCAGTCCTCCCTGCCCTCCAGGGAGCTCCCAGGTCCCAGGGCTTTGCCATTCCCTGGAGAACAGGGCGGTCTGCCCAGTGCCTGGGGCCACGACCCTGCCTACAAGCACATGGGTAGACTTGAGGCAGGACACTCAGTGCACGTGTGGTCCTTGGAGACATCTGGAGTTGACTCTCAGCTCAGGTCCTCAGTTACAACTGAGGTCCCCACCATCCGGGCTTCTTGCTGGCAGGCCTATTTTCTTCGTGGCTCTGGGACTTGGGGCCAGGCCTGGGTTGGGCAGCCCTGGGTAGGGTCCCGGAGGGGCAGGCACAGTTCATCCTCTGCTGCAGGCTGGGCCTGCACACTGCGGTGGGTTCCTACAGCTGCGAACTTCCCCTTAGCCTGTGCTGTAGCTGGCCTGTGCTCATGGGCACTGCACAGGGGCTGGACGGAGGCACAGGCTCAGGCCCCACAGGGAGAGGATGGGAGGGGAGGGGAGAGGAGTAAGCAGGTCCCCTGCACAGGGAGTCTGAGCTGGTCAGGACTGCAGACAGGAGACTCAGCAGCTGCTGAGCATTGTGTGTGTGGGCCTCCAATGGGCAGATTGGATATTGCTACAACAATGATGCTGGGATGGGTCTAGGGGAGCACCAGAGGCTCCATTGAGGACTCAGGGTGTGGAAGGGTGGAAAACGTGGACAGAGATGTGAGGACACAGAGTGTGGCGGGTGAGGAAACGTGGACCGAGCTCTGAGGACACAGAGTGTGGCGGGTGAGGAAACGTGGACCGAGCTCTGAGGACACAGAGTGTGGAAGGGTGGAAAACGTGGACAGAGATATGAGGACTCAGGGTGTGGAAGGGTAGGAAAACGTGGACAGAGCTCTGAGGACACAGAGTGTGGAAGGGTAGGAAAACGTGGACAGAGCTCTGAGGACACAGGGTGTGGAAGGGTAGAAAATGTGGACAGAGCTCTGAGGACACAGGGTGTGGAAGGGTGGAAAACGTGGACAGAGATGTGAGGACACAGAGTGTGGCGGGTAAGGAAATGTGGACA